TTTATTTTGTTTGGACTCTGTTTGATATTCCTTTTCTGTAAAACTCAAAAACAAGGAAATAACAGAAACTGGCACTAGGCTCTGGGTTAATAAGTTAGTCCCAAAAATAATATAAACTAGCATAATAATGCATATAAAATATCCAAAACAGATAACATAATTGTAGATAAGTTGGAGACGTATCAGAACGCTATCATCCGCGCCGGTCTTCGTCACGCTGTCAGATTCTTCCCCGCCTACTTTGAGCATCACCATCACACTCCTAACCCAGCCGCCGCCACCGTCAAGCTGCTGACACCGCTCTTCTTTGATGCTGCTACCGCTCGCTCACCCGAGCCGCGTCGCCCGTCCAATCCCCCTTCGTCTTCGTCCAGCACCAGCTTATTGCTAGCGTCGCCGTCCTCTTCCCCGACCACTTCGTCTACTCCTACCATCGTTGGCGACATTGGCCCCGCGCCGATTGGCGCCGCAAACGTCGTCGAGTACTTCTCTGCTGGCCCCTACGATTCCTTCGAAAAGGCATACAACTTGTGCAGGTCCCCGTCTAAGCATGCCCAACGCTTGCAACACCGACGCGTGCCTTCGTCCCCAATGTGTTCCCAGGCCTGGCAAGCCTGGGGCAGTGCATCATCAACACCGACTTCGTCCGTCTACGCATTCCCGGTGCGGGCAACACTGACGCAGGCCTTCGCTCACGATGTGTCCCCAAGTTTGGCAAGCCCGACATGACGCCTCGTCAACATCATCTTCTTTCTGGCGCACCACTACTTTGACACCAGTGCGCCCATGGCTAATTTGGCGCCTCCTTGTGCCCACGGCTCCACGGTGACTACCTCGACACCGGCCTCCCCGACTAGACATCGACCACGACTACCTCGACCACGGCTACACCACCCTTGCTCTCGGCTACCTCGCACGGCAACCTCGACCGCAGCTACACCACCCTTGCTCTCGGCTACCTCGACAACGGCACAAAGGGCTACCACCCCACTTGAGCAACTCGTCCGCTTCCTCTACAGTCAACGCATCCGCGACGCGACATCGTCCACGACACTCCAGCTACGACTACAGGGGGATGTCAGCCCATCGGCTGCTATTCTCTCCAGTCTGACCGTCCGCGACGCTCCTATTGTCTGCAGCGCTACCGCTACGACTTCAGAGGGATGTTAGAGTATATAGGCATATATTTGTATATGGTAGACTATGATTTGTAATCATCTCCTGCCTTATCTCTACAAGGGGCTTCATTCTCTCCAAGCCTTATACTCTATATAAACTGCCGGAGAGGCTTAATAAAATATCCATCATCAATTCCAAGAAATCCTCTCTACTCCATCTAACATTTCTGGTTTCAAATGCCCGCTTCCCAGTTTTATATCTTGTGATATTTTTGACTTCTGTACAACTTCTGCCTATGTGAAGGGCTGGCACATCACAGCTCCGCAAATACAAAGTGACAACAATCTCTTGCTTCCGAAAAATTAGTACCACCTCGGCCTAAAAAAAATAGTACCACCTCGAATAGAATAAACCTCATAAAATATAATATATGTGAACGGACCAAAATATTTGTGAAACATGCCTTCCTTTATTATTAGGTATAGATTTAACTGTGATGCCCATTGTGAAGGGAGGATTTCATTTACAATCTTGGTAATTTTTTTAATAGATAGCACTGAAAATACACTTAAAAATTGGATTATGCTCTCAGCACTAACTTAGCATTTCTGGAGAGGTACACTGCTGGAAAATTGAAAGAAGCGGGCGCATGTGAACAACAGGATGGTTTACATAACTATGAGAGAAAAGGTTAACACAAATGTCAGGGCACTAAGCACAATGGAGTGGTTGATGGTATAAATTCACATTATTTTGTTTTATCAACTATAACATGGCATTTAGAACTCTTGATTAAGATATACTTTATATTCAACAATAATTTAAATGTGAATTGTTATTTAGTTTCATACATCCTTGGGTAAATAAAATAGTCGTCTTGCGATTAATCACTAAGCTGCGTAGAAAGAATATTTGTTTTTCATGTTCAAGTTTTCAACCTAGCATTTACATATTTATTATTTTCCTTTGGCAAAACCAAAACATACAATCAAACGAAAAGGCATTACATTTTAAATTTTCCAACGAAGAGTCACTTGGCGAAGATAACATATGGAGTATCTTTGACAACAATATTCCCTCACATATCATACTACTCCCTCCGTAAACTAATACACAGAGGGAGTACTAAATATCTATATAATGCGTTCCCTCAAAAAAATTATATATGGGACTATGTATTTTGATCATTAAAAATGAATAGAGATGATGCCCGCACACTTGCGCAAGCCAGATTACTATTTGTTTTAATAATAAGTAATATATGGTGGCATACATTAAACGATGAAGAGAACACACTCATTAAAGAAAAATCCAAAGACATCACTCTATAAAAAATGCAGTTTTAAGGAAGCCGACAATATGCACAGTAGGAAACAGAAAAACATAGAAGTTTACTAATTTATAACTGAAAAGTCAAGCTTGATTATGACAAGAAATTTTATGATGTACATACAGTATAATTAAAGTGGCGACGGAATTCAACACATTAGAATTAAATGGGAGGTCTTAAAACCAAAGCCGTGTCTACTTGGATTTTCTTACTCGCAGTACATGCCGCAGCACTTGATACTAGCCGTCCCTCCAAAGTAAGCGGACACCTTGCCGTCCCTGGTCTTGAACGTCTCCACCTTATAGCAATCGGAGCTGAGGTTTTGATGTAGTTCAAGCGGCCTATTCCAGTTTTGGCCCATATCCATCACCTCCAAGCCATGGATGTAGGCACTCTTTCCATAACCTTCTGACGGAAGGCTGCCGCTCCCCATTTCGGTCGTCGTGTACCTGTTACCGGTGTGCATGTTGCAGAGCTGCCCTCCCCAAAATGCCGCCACACCATTCTCAAACTGTGGAAACTGCTGCCGCGGCCAATACCCCAGTAATCGGTCGTTGTACATCACGCACCATCTCCCGGCTATTTCATCCTGTATGCTCGTGTTATTAGTTAATTACATGGGCAGATACAGGGAAAAGAGTAGATTCGCAAAACTAAAACAACGTCTGCCCCAACTAATAACATACTCCCTCCATCCAAATATACACTGCCTAATACTTTTTCAATGTTATCTTTGACCACAGATTAGACCAAACAATGTATGATGTGTATGTTTACAAAAAGTATACAGTTAAGCTCGGATGCAAAAGGAGTTTCTAATGAATTACTTTTTTGTATCATGCATCTCATATCTTATTAATCTTATCCATGGTCAAAGGCAACTTCAAAAATTAGGCCTTTAGATTTGGATAGAGGGAGAATACGTATGTATGCTGCTATCACACTACACCTTCATGATGACCGTTTTTACCTACATGCATATGCATGTGTGGTTCAAAAACACAGAAATGATATATTGCAATGTCATTTTGGATTGAAGATTGTTATTTCACATCCATATTTCAAATGTGCACTATATTGTGGCATCAACAAATGAGTATGCATCGAATTAATACTTCCGAAAAGGTTTTCTTAGTTATAAATATAGTGCATCGTGGATTCAGACAGATTAAGTAAAACAAACATTTCACATAAGATAAATTTGTAAGGAACAATTTTTTTCAAGGTTCTCCTACCAAGAGCATTTGAATCAAGGGTATCTTAGAGATAGTTTAATAAAATTGACCTTTATTTTTTAAACTCAGTTTTCATAGAACTAGACCAAGTTTTGTAAAATATACTCCCTAGATGTGAAGCTATTCCTTGAACTAAATTTAGATGATATATTTTTAGGGCTCTTGAAAAGATTTTTTTTTACTTCCCATGGTCCAGTTATATACGAACTACATACCTATTACACTGCTTGAACTTTTAGTTACCTTGTATAGAGTGAGTTGAATCTCAGTCTGCCCCCCACCAAACTCTGATAAAGGAGTTAATGCCGCACCAAAAGCATACTCGTTTGATATTTGTACAAACCCATTGCATTTCAGATTGAAGCAATCAATGCCACGAGGTGGGTCCTGAAGAATTAGCTCCAAAGGAGTAATTTGTTAGTACCATCGGAGTATGTTTGTGGCTTTCAAAAGTCGTTCACATAAAAGTAAAGGCCGTACCAATATATGCATGCTGCTAGTACATTTTTATTTCTATCTCAAAAAAGCATCCTAACTAGTATATTTTCAAAAAATAGATATCAAAAACCATATTGATGTATGCTCAACCTCAGTTTTATTTCTGTTAACAAACGTGGTAGTCTTGGATAATGAGCTTGCAGAAGCCTACTGCTTCTCTTTGCAGAGTGGTTTTGTGGTGGGAAATGACCTCACCGCAACATTTTGGGATGATACTTTGGTAGGAGATGCCCCCCCACCACCACCACACGGGCAAACAATACCCATGTCTATATAACATCCGCCAAGCTGATGTGATTTAGGGCCCAAGATGTTTAATTCGCCACCACCTATGAGTAGTATGAATATGTTCATCAACTAGTTGGTGAACATTTACCAACAGTGGAAGGCTCAAATTCGTGTGGGAGTTAGCGCTTTTACTTTGGTTATATGGAATTGTCTCAATAACTATTTTTTAACATGACAAAAGTTCCAGAAAATTTACAGGTAATTTCCCAGGCTTTTAATTGGATCCATATGTGCTCGTATCTTCGCCGGGAAGAGAAAGGGTGTTTATGGTCTCTAAGTGAAACATGTGGGAGACAACTGCTTGAGATTTATCCAACGATTTAGGTGTGAGCACAGGAAAAGGATATGTGACCCATGAAGCTTCATATGTTCCTTATCACTTCTGCAATATATAGATCTTGTAACCGGTGCAATAATTAATTAAGTGTTATGTGCATCAACCGATGCAGAGTTCCGAGTGTTATGCCTCTTTCCGAAAAAAAAATTAAGTACAAATATAGTTATTGGTAGCAGCCTAACAAGGCGAAAAACTAGTAGTCAACATCTGAACAACTAAAGGGTGCATTCAGTGGCGGACCCAGGAATGAGCCAAGGTCCAGGCGAACTGGGCCAAGGCCCAGGCAGCTCTGTTGTTGACTGTAGCAATTTACTGTAGCTACAGTGCACTAGTATATGAAGGACATGGGCCTCACGCCCCAGGCCGCCGCCCCTTTTGCCTGGGGCCTAAATCCGCCCATGGGTGCATTGATACGTAGCATCAATTGCATTAATTTTTAAATAGTGACGTATAGATTAATACATTTAACATATGGGTGCATTGATCTGTAACATATATTTAATGACGTGCTATATGATTTTATTATAATTTCCAAGGAGAGATTCGAGGTTGTACCACTGTGCGAATAAATAATCTCGTTTCACCATCATCTTCGTGTAAAGATGGACTGACCTGAAAGAACCAATAACTATTTAGTTTGTCCTCGACCCTTTTAGCTTTCCATGAAAAGGCAAGTGTAATACTACTAACAATGAAAGTTAGAACACGATGCTAAGAATATGGAGGAACGTTACCATCCAACCATACTGAATGTACGACCCATTTTCGTTGTAGATGTTAATTGCACTGACGCTCCACTCATTTGGCTCAACATTTATTGACCAGGCATTTATATCCGCCCTTGCTCCATATACAGTTTGGTATGTTTCAATACCAGCAAACTGGTAAATCATAATAAAACATCATCATCATGTAACTTTATCTGAGATCGCGTATAGTAGTAATTGGTGATTATCAAGTAAACTCACCTCTATTTTGCATGCAGTGAGTTGTTCCTGCTCAAGCTCGACATGAGATTTATTTGTCATCCTTCTAATAGGAATTGTGCCACTTGGACAGTTTCCACTCTTCTGCCATATTTGATGAACCACTGCACTTGTGGTTGCATTGGTTTTCTTATTATTCGTGCTAAACATCTGTTGCATCTGGTACAGCACAAAAGCATAAAGTTGGTTGCCCTCAGTGATCAAGGCTATAAGGAGGTATAAGAAAATGTAGTTTTGTGCCCACAAAATGTAATATTTTTTCTACTTTCTTTAAACTTATGGATTGCATATAGGTCAACTTTTAAGTTTACTACTTCAACTATTTTACATACAGTGATATACTAGTATAAGCTAGTGGCACTACTTGTATTTAGATATCCTCACAGGCAAGAAATTAAAATAATTGTAACAACAAACGTTACCTCAAATTTTGTGTCATTTTTTATAACCAAATGCTCAAAAGATGGTTGCTGGTAAATATCAACACACTCGATTATATCACCATCTTCGCTCTGTAAATATAATAGGAAACTATGTCTTGGTAAGTAACCATAATGAAATAGAGTGAAGTTAGAAGTTTTAGAGTAAAATGGACGCACACCTTTATAAACTTGATAACTGACTTTGTTGAATCTCCGGTGCTGATTAACAAAAGCAAAAACATCCACAAGACAACCAAAAGCTTCGAATATTTTTTCATCTCAGCTACCTCCAAGCTTGTGAATTGCTTGCTCAACCCCAAAGCTTATAAAGACAAATAATGAAAAGTGAATGTGTTATTAAGTCATGCAAACAAGTAGAATGAAAAACTGAATCTATAAACATATTTGTTGGGTCAATTTCACAGAAAAAAAACTCCTAATGGAAGACCGAGGGAAAAGTGCATATGGCCCAGAATAGCCAGGGCTGTATTTGTTTCAGTTCACAGCATAGTATGTACGACTAACTGGGGCTGCTAAATATGACAACTTTTGACTGACCTATATTGCAGTAGATGCTCACAATATAAGCAAGGTTTTGATATATGCACACCATATTGTGTATACTGTCTTATAAACGACAATAACTCAACCAAAAGTTGTTCCTTCTGTTTGAGCACATATCACACTAAATAATTGCTTGCGCTGATGATCGGACATAGTTTATTTAATTAGACAACAAGTATATCCATACAAAAAAGTAAGTTACAAATTTAACAAAGATTTATATTAGCACGCACCAAACAGTGGGTATTAACCGACAGGTTTGTTGTACAAAGACAATTTGGACTTTAGGAGACCAAAACCATCATGACAAATTAACAGTAAGAAATAAAATAGTGCTGTACATCCCTTTGCGCCATATCAAATTAAAGGCTGCATGTATTGGGGTAGACAAGCTCCATTATGTGATTTACTGTAGTAGACTTGAAACCTCATTAACCATCATATAATTCAATGCATCGAATCAAGGTTCAGTGGCTTACCAAATTGACCAATTTTTTAATCAAGTGACTCTCTAGTGCCTATATGTTCACTGTATTCAATTTGCTCAGCTGGTATATTTTAACTGCACAAATAGGGTTTGTCGAACCTTAACTGAACAAGTGGCTTATGCATGGTTCTGTAACAGATCTAATTAGCTACCAGAGAGTCATATATATGAGAGGGACTGACAAACTAAGAAGTTTTACATGCACTTACGTGCTAACAAGAACCATTACTGTCGATCAAACTTATGGCACATGAGATTAGTTAGCTAATGAAACTGGTGACATTAGTGACCTTGTCCATGTGAGCCCAATTTACTGAAACGCTCATGAACAAGAGGATCTGACTTGTATGGGGCATAGATTATTTGTGGCTCAATAAAGAGGCGTGCGCGCACCCACACACACCACACTATACAAAGATAGAGATTATGGAGAATGGACAAATCCAATTTCACAAAGGCCCCGTTTGGAGCGCAGGAATAGGAAAACCTCTTTGCTCCAACAGGGCATAAAAATCTCAATTATCACCATGTGCTTACAATAGCAATGACAGGGGTCTATTGATGGGGTGAATATCCACAAAACTTCTACCTAATTGCTCAACTTTATTCATGCATTGTTTAGCTGCTAACTAATAAACGTACTGACATGTGCGTAAAAACTCAGAAGACAACTCAAGGGGTTGATTAATCAAAACGCTAGAAGTTCAAGATGGACTACTCTGCTACTGTACCAGCAAGGCAAAAACAGAGCAGCTAACCATGGAAATGACATTCCACAACTAGTTAGTTCTGCGCAGAAATGGCAGGCGCCTGAACAATGGGCTACTACGGATGAATGCAGACTCGGCCAAAATCCAGAGTCCGGAGGCTCACCTGGTTTGACAAACTTGGTGCGGAGATCCAGATCTTTCCGAGGAGAAGGAAGGCTACTTGGGCAAGGGGAGGGAGAAGGGCGTGGGGGAGGGGAGGGGGGGTTGCTCGTGACCAGGAGGTTCAAGTGGACGAGCAGGCTTCATGTAACTTGAGCCCAGGCATCATGCATGTTCAGCCGAAGGGGATGCGGAGAGAGAGAGAGTTATCACCAGAATCGACTACGGAGCGTCGAAAGAGAATATAGTCAAATCATGAAGTATCCGTGCATGCAAACTCACCTTATAGGATCTACCACGGGACGCCTCATATACGCCTCTAAGCCAAATTGAATCGTAGCCAAATTCAAAGAAACCCTGAAATTAAAAAAGGGCAATCCTGAGCCAAATCCGTGTTTTAAGAAAACAAGGGGAAGTGATCTCGTACTCAACGAATTGAAATTGACAACAATAAAAAAAATCATAACTTAGAAAGAGAAAAGGACTGGAAATCCTAAAAAAGTGTCCTTTACTCCAAATCAAATTTGAACGCCTAGTAGCAACCCACAAATAAGTTAGTAAAACAAGAAATATCTCCACGGCGAAACACGGGATGGCGCTCTCCCGACCGCGCAAGTGGCGGCTGGACGCGCACCGCCGCCGGCCGGATCTCCGGCCTCGGGCCTCCCTTGCTGCCGCCGAGACCGGATCCGGACACCCCGCGGCGTCCTCTCCCGCACCAGCCTCGGCGCCGCCCCGTCCCCTCGTCAACACCGCGACGCCGCTCTCGCGAACCTCCGCCGCGGGAGCCGCTCCAGCGCCGTCTTCCACTGCTGCAGCCGCCGTCCTCTAGCCGCCAGTGTCGGTCCTTCGAGGGCTGAGCTCTGCCGTGGTCTCCTCTGCTTCCCCGAGTCCAGATGCTCGCGAGTCCTCTGCCATGTCGCTACAGCTGCTGGGTCGTCGGACCTCGGTTGCCGGTGATGTGGGTGCGGCCGTGGAGACCAGGTCAGGGCAGCCTTTGCCTGCGTGCGTGGTGCCAGCGTCGAACACTACGGCCGCAGGCAGCGTCCCGTCTACCGGCGCCATCCCTCGATTGCAGCCGGTGCCCCCAAGTTTCAGATTTAGGAAGGAAGCTTGGGGTGTTAAGGCCTCGCTGTGTTCCAAGATCGTGACAACAGCTGCTTCGGCACCGCCGCCTGCCAGTGCCGCCACAGGTCTGCTGCTACCGGCTCTTGTTGCCCCGGCCAATGGCAACGGCATGGGCTGCGAAGAGGAGCTGCCCTCCCTATCTCCATCAGCTAACGCAGAGGGCATCGTCGTTGGCATGGGGGGTTTGCCGACCAGTGCGCGAAGATCTGTTTTGTGGGCCTTTGCTGCTAACAGTGACGATGAAGACGAAGACGAAGAGGAGCTGGCCCCTCAGACGCCGCCGGTTGCAGCCAAGGCCGTCGACTCCGACGAGATGTGTGTGGGTCATGAGGTGGACATGGGTGGGGGTTGGCAGGAGGTGCTGCCGCGGTGCAGCCCGCATCGGCTCATATTGCCGCCGCCATCCACGACAATGGCTCCTCGTCCCATTCCTACTTGGCTTCATGGTAGATGCTATGCTTTGCTCATGGGCATCGTGTGCCTCATTGCAGAGATCCGTTGCGGTGCTCACGTTGTTTGGAGAATGTCACCGTGCGCACGGATGTCGCAATCCCTGGCGTCCTCTAAGCTCGCTGGCATGCCTTGCCACGCCGCCCGTAGCCAGCGTCAACATCATGCATGGTCCTACTTCAGCTTTATGCAAGGGTCCAGTGAAATTCGCGCTCCCCTCCAAGGCGCTTCACCATGGGTCCTGGGCATCTATTGTATCTGCCAAGGCGGACTCGACAACCTCATCTGAAGTGGTGCTGCAGTCTGCTCTAGCTGATCAGATTGTGCTGCTGCAAGGCTGCCTGGTGCGGGTTGGGAGCTTTTTGGAGCGGGCGGAGGTTGCTCTGAGTAGACTCTCTCTTGTGCCGGCTATGCTGCCGACTGCTATGATGTCACATCCTCCTATTGCAGTTGGTGTTTGCTCCGAGGAGGACAAGGAGGCAAAGTTATATGGTTGTTTCTCCCCCCATGTTGGGGACATTTCGTCGTCGATGTCTATCTCGCCCCCTGTGTTATGTAGCACTCAAGACGAGTCCATCGCCATGCTCATGGCTCCGGTGCTGCAAATCATGCCCGAGATTAGGGAGCGATGTATGAGCTCTGCTTCGCTTTTGTCAATGAAGCACATGAAGGTGGACTCACTAGTGACCTCATGTGAGGGAGATGATTCATGTCTGTCATGTGAGCATCCAGAGGCGTCTTCTGAGTCCTTCGGGTCGGAGGTGCATGTGGTTGAGGATATTGATGTGGCCGGTGTGTGCGTTAATGGGAAGGCGTCTGCGGTTTCTTGATAGATGATGCTTAGTTTCTTGTGTTGTCGATGTGGCTTTGATTGTCCGACTCATCGTTGTTGCTATTCTTGTCAGGATTCTGTTGAGTTGTGCAAGTGTGGTGAGGTACGACTGTTGTGGGTTAGGAGCATATGACGGGTTGTCTGTGTGGTCACGGTGTTTGGTGCTTCCCGAGTAGCCTGTTTCGGGTTGTTTGTATCGGTTTTCGCCTGGCTTTCCGAAAATTAACTGAGCAATTCTCTTCTTCTTAATTAATTGATGAGGCAAATATTTTTTCTCTGTTTAAAAAAAATTGGAAGCCTCAAACGCAGCCTGCCTTTTCACTTCTCGGACGCGAAATTGTCACCCAACCGGACGCCCCATGGTCCAAATGCATGGACTGACCTGCAATCCCCATATCTGGCCCATATTGTCCAAACGCGGCCGCACTGTATGGCTGACCATAAGGGCCCACATGGTCACACGCAAAACCTTCCCAAATGATAAGTGACACACGTGCGGCATGAAGAAACATGGTCCAAACACCCTCATTACTATCCGTTTTGCCACATCAAACAGATGAGATCAGCAGATTTTTTTGCTTTTTCGAACATAAAAATGTTTTATCTCTCAAATAAAAAATTCATTTTCATCATTAAATCCGTCTCGACAGGGTCTCCAAAATTAGATCACATATTGATATGTTTTGACATCTTTCTTTTGGGGCCAAAAATTGTCATGACCTTATACTGAAGTTGCCATAGTGTTTAAACTAAAGTTACCATTATATGTTTCATCTATTTTTTTTCTAGATTTAAAGCTACCACTGTATTTCAACTACTTTTCAAGTTAATTTTATTAATTGACCATGACAATTTTTAGTAATTAACCACAACAAATTTAATTCATGTATCATGGCAATTTTTAATAATTCACCATGGCAATTTTAGTTTATAGATCACGGCAATTTT